CTCGAGGATGTGAACAGTTTGTCTCCAAGGGACCATATAAGTAGACCCTCCGCCCCATTTACTCAGTCCAGAAGCTCACACATATGTTGGGTAAGCTCTCATGACGGTGATCGGGGCTGTAATAAATGAGGAGAGAATAAGGACTGGTTCATAATCTCTAACCGTTGTAAGTTACCCATTGGTAGGTTCTTCCTTTTCATCGATCAACACCCAAACTGATCGGGAACTGACCTCGGGAACCTAGAACATACTGCTCCCAGTTACGTGACCACTGGAACTTTTTGAGGGTCCCAGCACGAGAGGACAGAGCGCGTAGAAACAGAGGACTAATGCTGCCAAGGCACTGAGAGGCGCAAAAAACATGTCGCCAGCCAGTGAGCGAGTTTTTTGGGAGACGGAGCCTTCGGGGTGGATGAGCCACCTGTTATGAGTGAAAACCTGCCATAAGGAAGGTCACAGCGGCCGAGGAACGCCATGTACACGTGAGAGCGCGAGAAAAACAGAAAGTTGGCGCGATTCAAGGGATCGAGTTCAAGTTGCCCTGGCCCAAATGATCACAACTTATTGTAAGGCGCAAGGTACTGGGGCCAAATATAATAGACTGAAAGGGCGCTTATCCACCGCAACAGCCTACTGTAGCCCTTGTTTACTCAGGGCTTCCAAAAATTATCACGACCTTATATCACGACCTTTTAGCGTGCAACCGTTTACATCCTTCATACCTACCACCACTTATTTATTAGGTCCCTAGGGCATGAAGGATTGTTCCCTATACTGGGTATTGTCGCGAAAGCTTCAAAAATCGATAAAACAGCGTACAAGCAACGGTTACTATCCTTTTTGAGATCCCTCCTCCCCAGAGGAAACGGACATGCAGAGAAATTGTCAGCGTTTGCGACAGCAAAACGCAAAGACTTTACGGACTTTTTTTGATAAACGGGCTAAAACTGGTAAGTGGCACCTTATGAACAAAGAGAAGACTGAATCACTCCTGAGGCCTAAATCGGTCGCATCTCCAGCTTTTAGGCACGTCTGTTAGACAAAAAAACATACTGAAAAGTTAACTAGCTATCTTAGATGAGCACACGCCCCTAATTCTCTTCAAAAAATCGCGTAATCCCTCATTTATCAGTTACAATTAAAAAAAAAAGCGAATTTCGAAAACAGTGCAACGAGCTATGCGTGCAATCTGACAGTCCCACCAGACAAACGTGCGTCAACCGCCCAAACTTTTTCTGTGGCTCCCGTCGCAAAAGGTCTGACAAGGGAGGTCGTTCAGGGCGTGGTGCGCTTTTCGAAAACGGTTTTTTGCATATTGTAGGGGCTCATGCAAGGACCTGAAAAGTGTGCTTCATTTTCGCTGCGCGCTTCCAGGAAAGGTAAAAAACGAGTGAAAAGAAATCTTTGGAATCTGCTTCGTTCTGGGCCTCTATACGGCGTAGGTCACTTGCAACTTTGACCAGTTGCTGAGTGGGGGGTCCTTATAAAGAACTCCTTCTGATTTGAATCGAACTACGAAAAATGCGCTGTATTGAGCTTCCATCTTGGCGGTCATGTGCTCAAGTGAACCGCTTCTTGCAAGTTTTCATCAACGATTCAAGCAGTCCACAGTGGAGTTCGCAATCGCGACAGTGAGGGTGGGCGTTGATGCAGTCGGCATTCCCTTGCGTTGATGGCCTTGTTTGCATTTTTTAATTTTCGCTGTTCTCGCTTCCATTTGTCTCTGCGCATGAATATAACTCGGATATTTGCCATTTATGGGCACATTCTGAGTAGCTGTACCTCATGAGTCAGTGCTATTCAACTATTTCGATTTTCACGCACCATTGAACAAGACTGTTGCTGGATGTCGGTCTCCATGGACTAGACAGTGGATCTGATTGCGAATTTAGTAACTTCTGGTGTGGTGTCAATGTTATAGAAATTGGCCGCCGCATCTTCTCTTTCCTTTGAATTCGTTATGTACACCAATTACAGGGAGGTCAATCTATTCTGTCGCCAAATTGCGTGGACGCCAAGAATAGGTGTTATATTTGTGATCAGGCCAACTGATTACCACTAAAAACAAATTTTCGGTCAAAACAATTGTTTTGACCTTGTTTTGGCCTTTTCTTATTTGCGTTGTCCGGGCGTCCGTAACGCGTGAACGACTACGTCATCGCCCCCCCACTGTTACAAGATGTGTGAGACTCCCCTTCATACTTAGTGGCCGACCAAATGGTCGGCACCACTTTATCCAACCCGAAAAAGTCAAAAAAAGAAATTTACTTCAGCTCAAATCTTCGCTTGCCTCAGAGATGACGTCCTGATCATGCATTTTAGACTTTATTTTCGGTTCCAGTGCCATCTGGCATCGGCATAGTGCCGAAGAGCTGAGTCTGTGCATACTAACGAATTCGAACGAAAAAGCAGTTTGCCATAAAAGAGGCTTGTCTCCCACTTCATCCGTGACATGTTATATCTGTTAGACCAAATCATTCTACGACACAATATAGGATCCAAACCAAAATGAAAACATTGTAGCAAAGCAAAAATTTGCTCTCTCGATGGGATCCGACACACATTCGAACTTATTTTTCACCTTCTTTTTATCAATTCGTAGCAAGCGCGCCCCAGCGAAAACGAACCTCAGTTTTCTGGATCCTCGTCTAGACTGACTCCCCTACAAATAGCACAACATTTTGAAAAAGCTTCACGACCACTAAACTGACGGACATCCCAATAGTGAGCGGCAGCCGGATAAAGACAAGCATGAGCTTTAATAATCCGAGCATTTAATAGCTGCGCGGAACAGAATTTTAGGCGGTAAAAACTGGCACATGGCATCAAGGGGAGGAAGGCAAGGCTGCGGGTAGATGAGTGGCTACGGACAACCTGAACTCAGCCCCCTTCAATTGCATCATTTTTGTGGTTTTCTCTGCGCTCTCATGTAATTCCATAAACTGTCTACCTTAACACATATCAACTATCAGTGTATCACGTGGATTTGGAAATCATTAATAGGATCATCACACCGAAGACCTTCTCCATGAAAAAGTTCAAATCACTCGGATTATGATGCCTCGAAACAGCCCTCTGTTTCTGTGCGCTCTGGCCTTTCGTGCTGGGACCCCATCAGAAGTTCTAGTTGTCACGTAACCGTGTTTCATTTGATTATCATGTACGAACCATTCATAAATGAGCGAGGTCATCGCGGGCGTAACGGACATCGTTGAGACGAGCGCATGGCCGAAAGCAGAGTACTGATGCAGAGCACACATAAACGATAGTTGGGGTTATAGGTCACATCAGTACAACTCCTATCAACCCAAACATCCTAAGGAATATTTCAGAACGTCCGCGCATAGGGTTAAGACAAGCAGTACACTCAGCTCCCTAGATCCCAGTCGTTGCGTGTGTGGAGAGGACTGAGTCCTCCTCTCGAAAGTGCTGGAGAAGAGGTGGAGAGGTAGTGATACCCAGCGGCGGTCTCCTTGGTCTCTGCGGCTATGGTCAGGCGTGCGGCTAACCGCGCTACCTCACGGCCAGCCACACGCCTGACCATGGCCACTCTTTCACCCGCATTTCATAATAATGTCTTTAGAGTGTCTCCGTTTTTGATATAACGCTTTTCTATGTTGTCTTCAAACTTGCTGGTTTTTTTTACGTTCAAAGTTGCGATCACTGTGGTTTTTCCCGTACTGATCGTTTACCAGCCGCGAGCTATCTCATTCGCGAGTTCGCCCACTTCCTGATCAAAGTGCTTAGTAAGGTCTCCGTTGCGGCTGCATCGTACACTTTTTGCTCCACTGTCGCGATATTTTAACCCTTTACTTCCGTTTTCTGTAGGGAACCTATAAACATAAACATATTTTGTCAAAAACAACAAAAGTAAACAACAAAGTAAACATAAACATATTTTGTCTTGGCAATGATCCAAGCATCCCATAGGATGTCCCACAGATCGTCTAAATTACAGTCATGATCTCTGTTACGGTAGCCTCTGATGCGGCGCTGAATGGAGCCCGGCCAGGAAATCCTTTTTTTGCCAATGATGCCATTCTGAGCCAGTTACAATTAATGGGTAATCTGCGCTGGCTATACTCCAATCCACACCCGCGTCCTATCCTTTGCAGGGTCTTGACTGTTGCTACAACATACGCATTGTGTCCCGCATCTTAAGACAGCCCCCGCCTCGCAGTAGCCCATGGTCGTTCCTTGCCTTGTTTTATACAGCATGAGTATAGCCCCCAAGCTTAGATGCTGTCCCACTCTCGCAACTCCACAGTGAGCGAGAAGCGAGCTACAACCGCTCAAAGTTCTAGTTCTAACGCCCGCTCAGTTGGACCGCCTCACTTGCTAGCTGCCCTCTGACGGAGAGCCGCTCAGTTGCTCTTTGTTGGGACGGCGGGCAATACTCGGGATTGCAAGTCATTTTTGCAGACCGCGATGGTGCCCTTAGATAACTCTGCTCTCCTTTATCACATTTCATTCATTGAGAGCACATACAGTCAAATGCAACCATCTCGTAAGGTAAAACGCATAAAAATCACGAGTGATGCAATTTTGTGGTGCAAAAGCGCGGCAACTGCAAGACTGTACTAAGAAAGCCGCTCGCTACCGAACCAAATTTCGGCATGCTCGTGTCTTCGAAGTTTTTTGCTTTCAGGAGTTTTTGTTTTATGTCTTTTCGTATAGTTACTTTTTGATCTGCATCGGATATCCACTACTGAGAGATGTGATAAAGAGATTTTCAAGCCAGGGGATACCCACGGATCGCAGGGCGGTGTACTGTAAGGGGAGCAATTTCGTTTGTGGTGTTCTTGAGGGCTCTTGTTGCTTTTTTCCCTCATTGAGGAATTACTTATCAGATACTGTTTCATAATTGATCAGCAATTGTTCTTGCCACTTTTACCGCGGGAGCTGTCTTTAATTGCTTTCTCGAGCTATTATTCAGTGATCAATCAATAAGTTTATTGATAATCATGTACGTGTGATTTTCAAGATGCCAAATAAATCAACAATAACATTTTCCTCCCTCGTATTTGCAAGATGTACATATTTTGCCCTCAACAGAGAGCCAAAAGGCAACCGCCAACGATACAAAACCGTAGGTGATTATCAGCCAGTCGTGCAGGAACAATCCAAGCAATATAGACATCGCAAGCCGTGCTGAGTCAAAGAGCAGAGAAAAGCGGCTGAAATGTTCAATTCAAACGTACCGAACTTGAGTGCAACGTACTTTTGCCTGAACCGACCTGTGATCAAAATAGTAACCGAACATTTGTATTAAAGCGATGAGAAAGCCAAGCCGACAAAGGAATTCAGGCCAGTTGATAAGGAAACGGATCCCTACGAAGTGCACAAAATAATACAAGAGAACGACCCACTGCCCGAATAGATAGTAATGAAGAGCGCCTGTCAGTGGAGGATTATAGGGGACAACAGGGCGTTTGATCTGTAATACAAAATAAACTAATACTTCGTATTCCCCCTGAGGCATTAGTACTTGGAGATTTCACCTCAGGTACCCCAGCAGTGTTGTCCTCCAAACATCGCCAGAGGAAAAACCACTTTGTTCGCATTCCTGGAACGTAACCTGGCGGCAAGAGGGCGGCTTTAACCTATAAATCGATCATTAACAATTTACTATCCAGTACTTTTCAGGAAAAGAAAATCAAGTCACTTTTCCAGAAAGAATCACCCGAAAAAGAGAGAGTTCCTGGAAACAGGAATCCTACCTTGTTCCAGACGCCCGGGAACATCTCCTCGTTCTTTTCATTCCTCATCTGACCTTTGTCATAGGTCATACTCTTCAGCTCAAAGAACTGAAAACGGCTGATCACTATTGCTTTGTTTTTCACGGGTAATCAACCGATTTTGCAACCTGATTGTGCAACTGATCGAACGTGTTTACTGGCTTAGTCAATCCGTATTCGATCTGTTCGTCTTTTCGTTCCGCTTCATAAGTGCCAAAGATTCTGTAAGGGTTCACATCGTTTTGTAAAAAAACGGCGATCTATCAAAAATATTGTGTGGGTGGGGGGGGGGTATCGTGGTCCGCATAGTCCTACGACGCTGCAAGCAATGGCATGCTAATCAACCGCTCCATGAAGTCGCCCGCTTGGGTTCATGATGAAGGGTGATCAAAAGAACCACGATACGCACACGTCTCTGGCACCTTCATCTCGCACTTTCAAGAGATAAAAGTGGAACGCACCCCACATCTTTGCTTGCTTACTTGGTTGCCATATATGCTGAGGTATTCTCCACAATTGGTTAACGTGGAACACGCCTTCAAGTACATGGAACTATACGAGCGCATTCAAGGTGGCGATCTTCGCAAACGCAGAGGTCGGCTATTCAAGCCCTTGCAAGTACGATTGAGGCCTCGGGCTTGCAATCAGAAACCGCCCACTCCCTTCAGAGCCACGAGCTCAAAGTGGCAAGTGAAAGGAGAATGTCAATCTGCCTCTGGGTAGACTCTTCGCCCTTCATTGACTACTTCATCGCCGGGTGCCTAGCATTTTTTCGGTTGTTCGCACAATTCAATGCCTGCTATAGAGTGCAAAGCGGTCTTCATTGGCGTTTTCCAGTGACCTCCTTTGCTATTCCTTCGCTGGCATATTCTTGAACCAAGGCATATTCTCGCTCGTGAGCACAGTGGGCTTAAGACCTCTCCGTACCCAATGAGAAAAGAAGTAAGGATGGACATATCAAGTATTTAAATAAAAGTGATTCGTTTCGCCTCTAAGTCAGACGAATCACTTTTTAGACGTCAAACCCCCGAGGCTCATCAGTGAGTTGGGGTCTGACGTCTAAATATAATTGGTAAAAGGGGTGATAGGTTTGGTGAATGAAGTAATTATAGATGACAGGTGTGTGTACACCTCATATTAAATGAATGCAAGAGGATTGAAACTCAGTTCCTAATAGGTATGTAAACTTGTGTGAAGCAGCAATAGATTGCATTAATCCTTCAGTCAAAGCAAATTACGCAGTTCAAGAGTTAGTGTTAGAGGCACGTTAACAGCTAGGTTATTAGTATATATGACATAGATAAAAGATACTATTAAGGAATATATTAACAAAAAGGCAAGCAGAGGGAACATCACATGTTCTAAAAGATAGAGAAACAATTAATGTGATGAAAAGAAGGTACACCGAAGCTATAAAGCAACGAGAGAGTCCATAAAATATATCGTTTTTATGTATAGGCTGTATAATATTTATTGACTAGTTGGTCATGTTACTAGGATTACCTCGCCAACGAGTATCTTGTAACAATTCAGTATAAATTACTATACAAGCTTCTTTATATATATTATAAATGAAGACTGCCTCTTGTATTCATTGTCCAAGGAGCAGTCTTTTATCTATCTGATATTTTTCTATAAACGTATCGGATGAAACAGTGTGTCTGGCGATCTTTAATGTTACTATATGTATTACTGATGCTTTGTTGTTAGTAGAAATATTTGTATAGCTGTGTGGGAATCTGATAACTTTAAAATTGAAGTCGTCAGTTTTATTATACAATTGTGTGAAAATTCTATTTTCTATAACATAAATGTTTAAATCCAAATAATTACTTGTGTATTCATTATTGTGAGTTTTTTTCAACTGAAGTGCATTACAGTAAACAAGGTCTATTTCTTTATCGATTGTGTTTTCTGTTAGATTTGTGCTATGAACCAATAGACTCGTCCATTGTATCTGTACTGGATGAACAATTTGCCTATGGACTTGAATAGATTTTGGCATAGTGATTCCATAATTACAGCGTGAGATCTGCAATAGTGGCTATCAAGTTGCGCTCCTTGTGGTAACACCCTTTAGTTTGTTTAAATATGTTACTAGCGAAGATACAGAAGCTATTACGTAGCAAGTAATCCGTTAGGTAAATTAAATCACTAGGCTCATAGTATCTGTAATATTATAGAACTATAATTAAGAAAAGGCATTAATTTCTCGCTCCGTGAGAGCACAATGGGCTCATGTAGATATCCTCGATGCTACTTTCCAGGATTCATACCCCAAGCCTACTACGCACATCCTGTTCTGGAATGACCTCCAAGGTAAGAGGTAGTGGTGATGCTGTTTGGTTTTGTCCATTGTGCAATAGCTTTTCAGAAAAGTGATGTCTCACAAATGCGGGGAAAACCACTTCACCTGTCCCAAATAATCAAGACGCAACCATAGTTCCTATCGATGCAATATGGATTTCTGCCATGGTGGACACGGTGGCTCGAAGGAGTGTTAATGAAGTATTCAAGAGGACCAAGGTAAGGTACAACCTGAAATGGGACTTCGAAGATATAAAACCGGTGTTCGTCAACATACTTTTATCCACTAAGGAAACCGATTCTACAGACCAGGTAAGAAATTGTCTTCCCTGGAAACCAGGTAAGACCAGTTCGCCTTCGAGTGTTGCATTTTATGCAAGTGCTAAGATGTAACGACGGACTGAAGATCAAATCTAGAAATTGAACGTGAACACGGAGGGTGAACCGTTCAGTGTTTTGTCTGCAGTTCAAAAGCCAAAGAGCCATACTCGAACACACTAGCCTGAGAGTCAACCGCAATAACAGCATCTTTAACTCAGCTCGCTGCTTTACTGGCATCCATAAACTCCGCCCAAAAAAAAAAGTAATGTGTAATGAAATAGAACTCACAGTTGTATGGATCCAGAATTGATAAGTAAGGTTCAGAGTGCGATGAACGATGAACATGTTGGGAGGCATGAAAAAGGCTTGCAACAGCTCGGGCAACATTTGAGCGAAATCCTTCAATGAAGTGGGAATAGCACGAGTTTAGTAAAGTTCAAAAAAGCAAAGTGTCAGAATATTTGATTTCGAGCCCTTTGATTTGATTGGTAGTGACTTGTTTGTTATTCACTCTCTTATGTTCTTCACTTGAGAAGCAGTTTTCGATTCGGATACCGTCTCTAATACTTCAGAAGTATAAATGAAGAACAACGGCACTTTTTTGATGAATCTAGGAAAAAATTAGGCCGTATAGGCTAAGTATTTCTCAGTCACCCATATTGGCAACAGTGTATGTACAGTTTTTCCTTCGACTCATTTCGTGCCAATATAACCAATGACAATACATCCAATTTTTCGAATGATCACAATAAGGAACCTGAATAGCTGGTTCTCGTATACCAGTGCTGAGATTGAAGTACTCAGAAGAATGGTGCATTTTATGAAACCACCATAACACACCAACTTCTGAAACGATGCACTTTTTTTGTTAGGTGTGGCGTAATGCACACAAGAAGGCAGCGTTCAGACTTTGCCACGACGCGCTCCAAGACGGCATACCGCAAAC